CCCCCCCCCCAAAGGATTGCCTGATGCTTTTGCTCCGGTCAACATTCTCCAAAGGCCCTTGGAGAGCCTTCTTATCCCCTACAGAGCCCCTCACTGACCCCTGCCTGAAACAAGACCAAGTCTTTTTGTCCACAACAAAGGGCATCCCGTGGTTGCTGGGGAGGTGGGGCTGAGGTCACATGTCCTGCACACAGATTCAAGCACATGCTTGGGATCTCACCCCTGAAGTCAAGCACCACGAGGTGCTTTCGAGAGCCATCCTGGTCTCTGGGAGCATCTTCGATACTGATCTGAGACACATGCCATGGATTATAAATATGCTGTGGTGAAAGCAAAGCGCAGGGGGGTGGGTAGGGGGGAAGCCTGCAGTTTACCACTCAGCAGAAAACCGCTTCAACCTGAGCTGATCTGGTTTGGACTGCAGGGATGTGGGTGGAAGCCTGACAATTCTGCAGGGGATTCTGAGGAAGAAAATGGGGTTGAGGGCCACCCAGCAGAACAAGACCCCAATTTAGGGTTCCTCTCCAGCACAGGTAGGGAATGGGCAAGAGGAACTGTCAAGTGAGTTAACCCTGCTCCTCCTGGACTTTGCCACCGGTGCCCCGCCTTCCTGGTGAATTCTCTGGGGCATGACTTGCCCACCACCTGGCTGGGCTGGGTTGAAGGGCGAAGTACCTGAAGGGTTTGCTGTCAGGGTCGGTGTCCTTGAAGCCCATCTCCTCCAGTTTACAGCGGCGGTACAGTTCATAGTGCCGGGTGTGAGTCTGCTCCCGTAGATCCTCCATGTTGACCCGAATCAGCATCTCCCTCAGCTTCACAAAGTCGCAGTGGGCCTCGTTTTCAACTGCATAGCAAGGGGGGAGGTTCATTGAAAGCACATTGAAAGGCAGGCCGGCAGAATCAGAAATGCGTGAAATGAGAGGCAACACGTCTTCCAGTGACATCGCCTAGCCACCTGTGTACGCAGAGTCGGCGTATTTACTTCTGGATTCCCTTTTCTACTGGAAATGGCACTGCAAAGTGACCACTATGACAATAGTGAGAAACAGTACTGCCATGAAAACATTTCAGAAGGCACTCAGTAGCACCTCAACCCCACTACACCAATCAGAACCCATGTGGAAATCTTCAGATTCATCCACTTGTCTGACAAATCCTTGTTCCCAGTCTTGTAGGAGGCACTGGGAATTGAGAAATGAAGTCATGGAAGGTTGCCCTCATGTGCAAAAGAGTAGATGTATAATGCAAAATCTAGAAAGATACAGTTACAGCCAAGGGAGTCCTAAAGACTCCAAGATCCCCAAAGAGGAGGAGCCTAAGGTCTCCTGAACCTAGTGCAAGCTTCAATCAAAGAAAGCCTCTTAAGATGACTCTTGAACCAAGAGTAGGAATTTATCAGGCAGTTAAGGGCATAACCCTTGCAAGGTCTCAAAGAGGTTAGGCAAGGCTACACACCTAATCAGTATAGCCTAGTAATCGAGGCTATAGGAACTCGGGGATAAAGACTACGACCCGGTGCCATAATCTCCAAAGAATTATGGGGAAGAACTAGGGCATCAGCAGCTGACAGTGACATGGGCTATGTCCTATCCCTCTGAATGGTAAGAGGTAGGTTTTTCATAGAGTGGGTAAAGGCCTGATGGATACCATCAGTGGTGATCAGGACCAAGTGGATCTCACTTTGCAGCCCAGATCAGGTGAGGCCTGGGTGGACCACCCCCTCAGCAACAGAGTGCAATACCCAAGAATGACAGATGTGGACTGAGTCCTAGCAATGTTAACTGCCTATGAGCAAGAGGAGTGCCCTGTCAAGCTGATCGTAGGGGTGGCTTCACAGGGTTGCTATGGTGGCGTCTGGCCTGATCGTGTCTGAGATCATGAACATGGAGGGGGATCTGGGATGAGAGGTTTGGGGCACAGTTGGAACAGACTGCCTTGTGGTTATCAGGCCACTCTTTCCAAAGTCTGACTCAATTCACAAAACCCCTCTGTTTAAAGCTCATGGTCTTCAGGATCAAACTTCCCACTGTCATCGAACAATCTTAAAAATGGGACCCCCAAAAGAGGGACCAGCAAGGCAACTTCTCAGGATGACCAAATAGATCATCTCTTCCTCCATCAGAATGAGCCCTGTGGGATGCTGTCAAGCCACATCTTCTTCCTCGCACTAGGCTTAGAGGAAAAGAGACAGAAAAACTTCCAAAAGCATTATTTGGGGGGAAGTGTGGGGAAGTCCCACTTGGAAGAAGTCATTGTGACCACCTCATTTTCTTCTCATTTCTCCTCAGATTCCTGTCGCTCAGGCTACAATTTCACGCCCTCAGTCGGACTGTTGGTCCAGAATGCATCTATGCAGGTACCTAGAGGAGTGGAGCGTCTCTAACCCCACAGATTATAGAAGACCTAAACATAGCCGAGCTTTACCTACAGAGAGGCCTGTTATTGCCAAGGGATCTCTGGTATGGCCTAGAACATGCCAGGCTTTGCATGTGCAGGGAAGGACTTGCTGCCCACTTGCAATTGTTTGACTGATAATAGGGACAAATTTACTCTGAACCAGCCACACTCTCACACACGGTGCCCCTTGTCATCTGAGACCTAGCTGGTAGGTGTAGACCCATCCATGGTAACCTTCAAAGTCGGTTTCTTTTAGTGTGACCACCTTTCTCTTGATTTTGTTTTATGACAGTAGTCTTATATAAGAGTCATCCTTTTGTGGCAGACTAATTTCACTCAGCATAAGGTCCTTCAGGTTGCGATGAAGCTAAAGAGGAGACAGGTGTCCACTTTGGGGAAGGTACTATCCTACAAGAGGGAGATGGATTTAAAAAAATGATGGCGACAGAGCAAGACAATGGGAGGTGGGATGAGGCATTGAACATAAAACCGACCTGCTCTGAAGGCCTTCACCTAATTCGCATAGCGCACATGGGCTGTTCCACAGATCCATCGTTCTTAGTTCATTTTTTTTTCATTGCTTTATGCGATTCCATCCCATAAGTGCCCCCGATTTATCCGATTTAACCATAACAGACATTTGGGGTCGTTTCTAATTATGCATCATCACCAACACTGCAGTGAGCATTCTGGCCCCTGCCTCCTAGCGCACACAGGCAAGTGTACGACGTGCTTTCTTTCACATCCTTCCCCACTTGGCTCCCAGTACACGCACTTTGGTTTGAGGAAGGCTTTCTCCGGGAGGGACCAAGGAAACTTACTCATGCCAGAGCATCCAGGAAAGGGACCAGAGGCTGCTCCCTAGGGTCCCCTCTGGCTACTTGAGGCCCAAGTAGGCACAAGTTAGAGATCAGTTGTACAAGGGTTGGGAACAGGCAAAGAGAAAACAGAAGTGTGTGTGTGTGTGTGTGTGTATGTGGGTGGGTGGGGGCTCAGTGTAGCGCCCCTGCTGGAGACTCACTCACCCTGCACCGTGCCCCAAGGATACTGCCGCGCCTTCATCATCTTATTGCCGATCTTCAGTTCTTCTGTGCTGCCAATGACAGCAAACGGCAGGTGGGCCTGCAACAGAAGGCATGCACACACACACACACACACACACACACACACACACACACACACACAAAGGAAAAGCTCAACACTCCAGAGGAAAGGCCCCATGCTGCCAACAAGCGCTGCTCATCTGGGGCGGGGTCCTCAGGCTGGTCAACTACAATGCCCTTCATCAAGTCAACAGCATCCCCAGCAAGAGGCATTAATGAGAAACAATCTAGCTGTGTGGCGATAAGGGGTCCCGTTCAAGCTCCTGCTGCTCAGAATTTCACAACAGAAGCTAACAAGGGCATGGTCAAATGCACAGAAAACAAACAAAAGCAAGACAATGAGCTCAGTACTCAACAGACGCACAACACTATGAGCGTAGCCATAAGGCACCCTGGTGGTGCTGTCGGGTAAATGCTGTGCTGCTAAACCCAAGGTCAGAGGTTTGCGGCCCTCAGGCACTCCTTGGGAGAAGAGGCTGTCTGCTCTTGTAGAGATGGACAACCCTATATAGAGCTGCTATGTTTGGAAGCAACTTGATGGCAATGGATTTGGTTTGATTGGGGCCTTGATTCCTTCTACATAGTGGTGAGGGGGATAGAGAGGGTTATGCATGGATAAAGGTGAACAAGAGGCTGCCTGGGCTCCGAGAATAGGTACAGACTGAAACCACACTGCAGACTGTCTTAGCTCTTCTCTTACTATTCTCATCCTACCCTGGAGCAAGAGCTCTCTGTACTCCTGAGCCTGGAAGCCAAGTCAAGCAGCAATTACCCAGGTGCCCATGATGGTGTAGGCTCTGGTTTAGTGTTCGAATGAAGACTATGAAAGGACCCCTGGTGGTGTTGTGGGCCACGCTATGGGTTGCTAACCGCAAGGTCAGCAGTTCGAGGCTACCGGCTGTTCCATGGGAGAAAGATGAGGTTTTCTTCTCCTGTAACGAGTTATAGCCTCTAGAAACCAAACCAAACCAGAGCCAGTACTACTCTGCCCTCTGCAGTCACTATGGACCAGAAATGACTCGATGGCAGTGAAAATGACTCAACGTCACAGAACAACAGCAACAAAGATAAACGAAAAGACACTCCTTGCCCTATAAGGAGCTTATAATCTTATTGTGGAAGCCAGAATGACACACCCCAAATCATGTTACATACGAAGTGATCAATGCATAGTTCAAATGCATAGTCTGGTACTTGATACCTTAGCCCCAAACCAGGTAAATCTGACTCATGGCCACTTCGTGTGTCAGAAAGCGGTGCTCCATAGGGTTGTCAATGGTGGTGACCATTTGGAAACAGAGCACCAAATTTGTCTTTTGAGGCACCACTGGGTAGGATCAACAATGTCAACCTTTTGTCTGGTGGGCCAGCCCCAATCCCAACTACTAAGTGGACACCTGCCCCTCCCCCCAGAAGAATTTACTTCAAAGGACGGCATTGAATCTGCAGCTCCGGGGGAGGGACATATCTGATCAGAGCACACGGGAGCAGATGAAGGGGGAGGAGGAGAGAGCACATCCTAGCCCACCAGGCCATGAGGATGATGTTCCCAATTAGAGCAGCCATTCCACAGAGAGAACCACATGGTCGGCCCCACTATGAGACATGATGCCCCTCACTGACCCATAGCCCTACAGGGGACAACACCAGAGACACAGTGTGGGAATTGCACCCGATCTGATCCCGCCACACCGAGGCAAAACACTAAGGGGGTGCAACAGAACAGCAAGGGAATGGAGCAGCGAGGTCCCCAGGGAATGCTGGTGGACTTTGGGGCCAGGGCTTGGTGCCCCAACAGACTGGACTGGAAAACACTCCTAAAGGCCAACAAACAATCCTTGAACTAAAATAATAATTAAAAAAATGTCAACTTTCTGCTTACATAACCATTTGGATGGAACCCCGAACTCCACTCTATACACAGTGGGTAGTTTATAAGTGTGGCTTGAATGGCTGTGCAGGGCTCCGAGAATGGTAGAGAAGAAAGAAGGGTGGAGGACACACGGGGGCGAGAGCTTGGTGCTTGCAGGGGTAACTGAGGAGCTTGGCTACTAACCGAGAGGCTGGCAGGTCACACTCATCCAAAGGTGCCTTGGAGAACAGGCCTGGCAATCTGTTTTGGAAAGGGTAGAGCCTTGAAAACCTCTCTAGCAGTTGTCCTCTGCATACAGGATTCATCGTGAGTGAGAACCCACCCCTAGCGACTAACAGCAATGTGATAGGTAGGCTTAGTGTGCTAACCTGGCCAGTAGGAACATGTGGGATTAATCAGGTCGCAGTTTGATTGGAAGGCAAAGAGAGAAATGGCCCCACGAGGCCTGCCCCTCGCTCTCTTGCCCTCTGGTGATTGGACCAGTGTGTGGCTGCTTTAGCTAGTTCTCTGCCTCAACTTGTGAGCTACACTGCCTGTGGGACAAGCCAATCTGTGGATCATGTCAGTAGAGTTTGAGGTTCTTTCGAGACCGGCTTTGCCATGCATCACTTGAGCTTGAGGCTGGTGAATCCTGTCGTCTTGCATTGTTTGCGTTCGATATCCCATCCGGGTCTGCTTTGCTAAGCCGAGCTACTGACTGTTGGTGACCCACCCTGCTGTTTGCTGTCTGTGTGCAGACTCTGCCTGCTTTGCCTAAGGGAAGACTCAGCAGTCTGCTTCCTTGACCTTGGACCCGGCAGCCCACGTGAATTGAAGGACTTCCAGTATATTAACTGTTCCACGGAAGTTAGTTGAACTGAGCCCTCTGTACTGCTATGTGGACTAATTAGCTGTTATGTTTCTTCGTGCTGTATACATCTAGCTATATATAGCTGTTATGTTTCTTCATGCTGTATAAATCTAGCTATATATATATATATATATATATTCATAAGTGTCCTGGTTTTGGTTCTCTAGAGAACCCTGCTAACACGAGCAACAACAGCAAGGGCCTGGCTGAGGCTTTGTGTCTCAGAGAAGAGGCTGCCTCTGACAGGTCGGATTCAAAACCAAACTCACTGCCATTGAGTTGATGCCACTCAAATCATCAATTTATGGTTTTGGAGATTTTGAGATTCTGTTCTGAATTCCCACTCTTTTGATCAGAATTCTTCTATAGAATCTTTGATCAAAATTTTCAGTAATTCTAGCGAGACATGGTATCCATAAACCCCATTGCCACCAAATCAATTCTAACTCACAGTGACCTTATAACAGCCAGAACAGCCTCCAAGGAATTCCAAGGCTATAAATCTTTAACGAAGTAAATAGTCACACCTTTCTTCCACAGGGAGGCTGGCGAATTCAAACCACCAACTTTCTGGTTAGCAGCCGACTGCTTCACCACTGCACCACCAGTGCTGCTTGCTCCAGGCATGGTAGGTACTCTTATTATCCTCATTTTATAGACGAGAAAACGGAGGCCCCAAAGGGCCAGGTGTCTTGCTAACAGGCACAGTCCTCAGAGGCTAGGCAGGGTGTGGAATCCAGGTCTCACTGACTTCCAAGTCCAACCCTGGCTGTTTTTCTGCTCCCTAATTTAGGGGACTCAAGCAGCGGATGGTGGGAGGTGGGGAGCTTGAAACTCTGGGGTGAACTGGTTGTGCAAGGTCTGACTATAAAGTGTAGCCCACCTCTGGACTGAAGCCCACAGCAAATCTGTCTTATTTGTTGTTTATTTAACTCTGTCTATGGCTCTCGCAGACAATCCTTTCTCTTTAATTTTTTTCTCTAGCTCTGCACCCCAAGAATGTTCTTCAAAGTGAAAAAACACAGCCCCGAATAGGAGTGCTGGTGGCATGGTGGCTTATGCATTGAGCTGCTTCTCCATCTGCTAGGTGGTCTTGAGTCCGAAAGGACACAATGGTGACAGTGAGTTAGTGTTTGAATGATTAGGAGCTCAGCTCCAAGATATCCATTCATCCTCCGAGGTGTTAGGTCATCTAGGTGAAGCCTCGCTGTCTTCACCCTCAACTGTTCCAGATTAGCACCTCAGGTATTTCCTTCTCTACATTCCTGCTCCCCCGGCTGTCCCTGAACTAGGGAAGTAGAAAAGGTTATGATGTAGGGGTGGGGTGCAAGTAATTTGGCAGTCCTTGTAGAGAGAAAGGAGCCCTGGTGGCTTAGTGGTTTCAGGTTGGGCTGTGATCCTCAAGGTCAGCAGTTCAAAACCACCTCCCACTTCAAGGGAGAAAGACGGCTTTCTATTCTCATAAAGAGTTATAGCATTAGAAAATCTCAGGATGCTGTTCTACCTTGTTCTATAGAGTCACTATGAGTAGATATTGACTTGGCGGCCAAGAGTAGAGAGAAAGGAGCCCTGGTATCATAATGGTCATGCACTCAGCTGCTAACTGAAAGGTTGGGGGATTGAACACACTCAGAGGACTCTGAGATTGAAGTTGTCAAGGATTTCATCTTCCTTGGAGCCACAACCAATGCTCATGAAAGCAGCCATCAAGAGATTAACGGACCAATTGCACTAGGTCAATTTGCTGCACAAGACCTCTTTAAAGTGTTGAAAAACAAGGAGCCGATTTTGAGGACTAAGGTGCGCTTGACCCAAGCCATGGTATTTTCCATCGCCTCTTATGCCGCTGGAAGTTAAGCCTTGAATAAGGAAGACTGACGAAGAATGGGTGTATTTGAATGACGGTGCTGGCTAATAACATTGAAAATCCCATAGCCTGCCAGAAGAACAAACAGATCTGGCTTGGAAGAAGTATGGCCAGAATGTTCCTTAGAGGCAAGGATGGCAAGATCTCGGTCTCAGGGACTTTGGACATGTTGTCAGCAAAGGCCATTCCTGGAGAAGGACATCATGCTTGGAAAAGTAGAAGGGCAATAAAAAAGAGAAAGATCCTTGCCAAGATGGATCTACACGGTGACTGCAATGATGGGCTCGAACAGGATGCTTGTGAGGATGGTGCAGGACATTCCGATGTTTCATGCTAGGCGACATCATCCATTGGCTGGCATCCAAGAACCACAACAGTAACAATAACAGAGGCTCTGAGGGAAAAAGACCTGCCAATGCACGCCCACAAAGATGAAGGCCTGATAACCCTCTGGGTAGCTCTAGAGTGTCATGCGGGGGTTCTTTGAGTTAGAATCGGCCTAATGGCACATAACAATGAAAGAGTAGAGGAATGATCAACAGCTATCCTGTGCTTACACATAACATGGGGGCACAATGGAAATGTAGGTGCAGATAGCTCGCACATGGCGCATAAGAAGCTAATTCTCAAGGGGGTTGTGTGGTTTGTACATGCTACTCTTATAAAGATTTGGCAATTGGGGTGTCATACGTGGGCTATTAGGCAAGCTCTGACTCCCTGAAAGCATTGCCCAAGGGCCTGGAGCATGTCCAGCCTTTGCTAGAGGGCTTTGTTGCAGGGTGGTCATCTGGGCACAATTCAGCCTCCCTCCGGGACCAAGACATGCCGAGAGTCTGAACTCCACCGCCCAACACCTTCAGGGAAAAGGTTTTCCCTTCTGTTAAGACTCCAAAGCATTAGCCATATGACATGAAAGTGCAGAGGCGGTGTCTGCAGAGAGCCGGACTGATGGAGGAGGTGACAGAGAGAGGGGTGGGGAGACCTTGCTATCCCGTTCTGGTTCATCCTTGGGTCTCAGCTGAGATGGATGATGGCAAAGGCAGGGAGGTGAGGTGGGCGAGGCCTCTCCGGGCTCCAGAAACAAGGAGAGAGGGAAATCTCCAGGAGAGAATAACAGCATAAAAATGTCAGTAGCCCTTTGGGCCTGATATTTTTATCTCCAAGAGACAGCATCCATTAGCATGACAGGGACGCTTGTTTCCCTCCTCAGGCTGCTGGCATTTGATGCCTCTGGCTTCCGCCCTGCTCTGAAGCAGACAACCTCACCCAACCAGCTTCAGAGGGCTCCTCGGCCCTCCCCCAGCCCACTCCTTTGCAGCTGGCATCAAAGGCTGTTCTGAGAGAGCTGCAAGGAGGCAGTTTCTGAGTAGCCCCAGTCCGGTTCCATTTGATTCTCCCAACAGCCTGGTTGTTGCTGGGGGTCCCCCTGAGTCAATGCTGACGCCTCTTAACCCCATGTGACAGAGCAGAATCTACCCATGGGATTCTCTTGGCCGCAATCATTACAGGGGCAGATACAACCCCCCCCCAACCTTCCCCTAAACCCATTGTCGTTGAGTCAATTCCGACCCACAGGACCCCTGGAAGACAGACTAGAAGTGCTTTCTAGGGTTTCCAAGCCTGTGATCTTTAGGGAAGCAGACTGCCATATCTTTTTCCTGTGGCATGTCTGGTGGCTTTGAACCACTGACCTTTCTGTTAGCTGCCAAGCACTCAACCGCTGCACCACCAAGACCATATTTACCAGAGTCGATGGCCAGGTCTTTCTCCAGAAGGGTGACGGGGCGGGTTAGCACTGCCAACTTTTCAGACCATAGCTAAGCACTTAGCTGTTGTGTCAGCAGGGTTCCTTTACAAGTTCGTTATCATAAACCCCATTTTGTGTTGTGGGAGAATTAGAGAGCAGAGGAGGGTCTCTAACTCTCACACCCACACCTTCCCTGGGAGGAGCCCGGATGCTCTGCTCTAACTTCCAGTTTCCCCCAGGGCTGCCTGTGCTTTGCCTCATGGCTAAAAGGCATGGGCCTCAGGTCCTCTACCCAGGACATCACAGACAGACCACTGTGATAACTGAGCTAAGCAAGGGCAAGATACATCCACCACGATGCTCCCAGGTCCTACCCAGTGTCCAAATCTTCAGGTCTGTCCAGGAGCCTGGCAGGAATGACTCCATGTGGGGTCAGACAGGAGTCATTGATAGATGCTGGGCAGCGCCACTTCTAGAGGGGTGTTTGCCTTCCTCCCCACCCTGGAGGCCTTGGATAGGTGACCCCAAAGGTCAGAAGCTCCCAGAGATAGTCTTGAGCCGCCTCTGCGAGTCTGTTTCCAGATCCACGAGGTTTTCTGTTCCTCCTGCAACATTGACACAGTGTCTGGGTGACCCCAACTGGCACGCCTTGTTTGATTCTGGCTCCACTGCATTCACGATACTTCACAGGTTATGTGCTGGCCCGCCTCAGCCTGGGGAACTAGATACCGTCAAGCCCCTTTCTTCCTTGTCTGATGATATCCAGATTGGGTTTGGCTTCCTCTGGAACAAACAGGATTTCCTACTTGTGCTGGCAGCTCAGCTTGCGTCTCCTCCCCTCCCCCGCCTCGGTCTCTGGCTGCGACTGAGAAGGGGATTGTCTGACTCTCTTTCAAGCCACCCCTGGTGGCTCCTGCACAAGTGCATGCCAACAATGGAGCCACCACTGTTGACTAAGGAGAAGCGATGGGAACTCTTGGGTTCTCACGGGGCCCCAAAGCCAAATAAATGAGCTGCCCTTGATGGAGATCAAAGCCAAGATCTCATTGGTGACCTACCAGCTGAGCTAATGCACTAGCCCCTATTCCATAACTCCTGCCATGGGTTGAGCCAGTTAAAGAACAACACTGAATTTAAACAACACAGCAATGGTTCATCTTCAAGTCTACAGCTTTGAGAGACGTCCGAACACTCGGCAAAGCCCTCTCACGTCCCTCTCTTGCCTTCTCTCTCAGAAGGCAATGAGACTTCAATATCCTGTAACTAATTCCTGCCATGAAAACCCATAGTTATGAGTGGAGGGATGTCTATAGAGTCTTCTCCACTTACGTAAGAGGCCTCTTCCACTTCATCTGATGCAATTCCCCTGACAGTTGGCTGAGGTGGCGGGCTGGAGTCAAATCTAGCATCGAAAAGCCAGCACTCATTCCTCCTATCACCCAAACCCAGGCCTCCCCTGTGGTGCAGCTTCATACATGGCAGCTTGTCTAAAGACTCCAGGGACTTCCAACACAGTTGTTCCTGCATCAGACAGACTAAGCAAGCCTGTGTAGATAGGTCATCGCAGCAATTCCCCACCTTTTCCTGTATCACAACACAGGTAGCACAGAACACTCACACGTATGATTCTCTTCCCATGGCATGACCAATGCAGGCACACTAGCTATGGGGCTACCTTCTCTTTTTCCCTCCATCAATAAAAAAAAAATCCATGGGACTTTTGGACTAGCATCAGACTTATGGACTTGGATTGTGTTGGGATGCATTCTTGATAAATAATAATTATTTCTCAATTTAAAGCTCTTTGTTTCCAATCTGCCCTATGAGGTCACTATGAGTTGGAATTGGTGTGGGGGCAGGAAGTCAGGCGAGAGAGTGACTTGCCACCCTGCTCAGGCTACTTTGTTGGCCAGTTCCTAAGAGGTGACAGCTGATTCTCGAATGATCACTTCAGAAGGGAGCGGCAGCAGGAAAATGTTCTAAAAATGGCTTTTATTACTAGGCCTGCCTGAGCTTGGCAGTACCCAGGCATTATGTCATTAGGAAACACTGATGGCTCTCAATAGAGAAAAAGAAATCTGTTCCCCAAGCAGAGGCTTTCGGGAAGCTATTAACTGTCTTCTTGAAATCACAACATTAAAGACTTCACAGCAACAGCATCCACACATTGTCAAGAGGTACGAGGAGATGTTTGCCTCTCTGCTGTCTCTATTACTCCTTCTGCTGGTAGCGGGGAGGTGGGGGGAAGGAGAGGAAAGTTTGGCCAATAGGTGTTTTGTTCTGTTCGGGTTTTAATTATTATTCATTCACACTTCCCCAAAGCAAAACATAATCCTGAAATTCAAAAATAGCATCTCTCCAAACCCAAACCAAACTCACTGCCATCGACTTGATTCTCTTAGAGACCCCACAGGGCACAGGTAGAACTGCCCTCTTTGGGTTTCCAAGGCTATTTGTCCATCTTGACGGGGACAGAAAGCCTCAGCTTTCTCCTGCAGAGCAGTTGGTGGGTTTCAACTGCTAACCTTGCGCCACCAGGTGACTAGCATCTCTCTAGTGACTAGCATCTCTCTAGTGACTAGCATCTCTCTAGTCTCCAGTCAAATCAAAAGGCTATGGGTCAAGGTTTTCTCTTGTTCATCTGAGTACAGATGAACTATGAGTTCCTGAAGCCAGCCACCTTGTTCAGCCTTTTTTTCATCTGCTGCCTCAATTGTCCCAGTATTGTTTTGGTTGGAGATAAAGCTCTTTGGTCTTTCCAGTAGTCTCATGGGAGCTCACTGGCCCAAACCAGAGAAGCAACACAGAGGTTAGTGGAAGGTGATGCCTGGATTCTGTGCTATCAACCTCTGTATCTCTGGGGATTTGAAGTAGCCACCGCTTAGGAGAGAAGAGTGGTTTGGGTCCTGGGTTCTCACTCACCAATTCTCCAGACTCGGATAATCAAGAGCTGACCACCCATCGAAATGGATGATGGGAGATGGTTGACTGCTAGTTGGTAAAGAAGGACAATGAAGATGAAATGGTCAGAAGGCCGAGGCCCTGTGCTTCCACTCACGTTCATGGTTCCATTGATCTCTGCCACCGACTCGTCATCTGTTGGGAATTGGTAGATCTGGACCCCGTTGCTGACAAGTTCGCTGGTGATTTTGATTTTGAACTTTGTTAGCTCGCTCTTAGAAATGGCATCGGATTTGGCAATGATGGGGATGATGTTCACCTAGGGGAAAGGAGAGCAAAGCGCAGTCAGTGCTGGTGGCTTGCGCCTGAAAGCAACACGGACCCAGGACTTGCACAGTGGCAACAGTTCAGTCTGAGGAGCTAAGACTGGACCACCTCCAGAGCCAAAGAACAATATCGTACACAACATTGGGTGCTTTCTATGCACCAGGCGCTCAACGAAGTGATTTAGATGTATTAACTCAATGGATCCTGACAATAATCCTGCCAGGAGGGATTATGTGCCACTGTTCTGTCAACGAGAGGTGGAAGAAAGATGGGGTAGTCTGCGTTGGTGAAGGTCAATCTAAAGAAAAACTTCCAGGATTAGCTCCTTGAAAATCCTAAAGGCAGGTCTAGTCTGTTTCATAGGGTCACTGGGACTCAGAATTGACCTGACTGCAGTGGGTTGGGTTGCCAATGAGAATGTGAGGCCTACAGAGGTGAAGTAGCTTGTCCCAGGCCACAGAACATGGAAGGAGCAGAACTGGGATTGAAATTCCAGTCGAGCCTTACTCCTAAGCCCTTGGTCTGAACTGTGACGCTGTCCACCAGCTTAGACGCACATTGAGGAATAATGGAAAGATGCCAAGGTCATGCCTTGAATGAGAGGAAGCAGAAGGATGACAATTGGAGACCTGCCAGTGACAAGGGAATCAGTGGCTGTTCTTTGTAGTCCGGGCAGCCCTAGCCAGACAGGCTCTGGCCCAAAACAGAGGTGGCAGAGACAGGAAGGGAGGCAGTGCTCAGTGGCAGTGGACACCTGGCTCCCTTTCTGGCAGCAAACACTGGCCACTGGCTAAGCAATTCAATGAGGCAAAGACGACACTCAGGTACCAACCTGACCTCCGACATGTACAAAGAGAGGAGTTACACAGTTTGCCTCTCATGACTCAGTTCGGGGTAAAGAATGCACACAGGTGCAGTAACACTTACGGATGCTGGAAACAGCAGAAGGCAGAAACTTTTCATAGAAGGGACAAGCACATATTTCCCACTAAGAGATCGAGAAGCTTCCAAGCTGAAACTCATCACCATTGAATTTATTCTGACTCATAGCGACCCTGTAGGACAGGCAAGAATTGCCATCTACTCCGGAGTGGCTGGTGGTTACCAACTGCTGACCTTGGGGTCAGCAGCCCAGTACACACATAACCAGTATACCACCAGAGTTACAGTCATGGAAAATCACAGGGCCAGTTCTCCCCTGTTCTACAGGGTCGCTGTGAGTCGGCATCAACTCAATGGCAGTGAGAATAGAGGGAGCTAGATAAGTATTAAGACTGCAGTCTGTCAAAGGTGGAAAACTTGCAAAACCTGGAAAAACAAGGCAGTCCCACCAAGTCCCGGCTTTCACAAGTTTCACTATATAAATTCCCCAATTCAGAGAGCAAGAGAACAGTCTAGTGCCACCCCCAAAGGCCCACCCATCTCAACCCTGATCCTTGGCCACTTCTCCAAGAAAGGAGAAGGCCTTCCCTGTCAGCAAGTAAAGAAACTCGAACTTCATGTGCCTTTGTGAGCATGAACACCCTCAGTCTTTGGCTCCCGAGGAGAGCGAGGCTGTGCCTTCTAGAGTTCAGGCTCTGCGTTGTGGAAGGGGAGTTTGGGAGCTCCAGACTAGGAAGGCAAATTCAGCCTCCCTCATACTTTCGCTTAGGCTCTGTGATGAGTTGAATTGTGTGACCCCACAATACATGTTGGAGCTCTGACCCGGTCCCACTGGAGCTTATCGTCTGAGAAACTGGACTCGGGGCAGAAGAGCATGACATCAGGGTGGGAAGAAAGCTCATTAAGAAGCTTGCTTGCTGAGCGGGAAGAGGACCTGAGACATTTGCTGCGGAAGAGCAAAGAGGACAGCATTCAGAATGTAAAGGAAACAAAACTCACCGCAATGAAACCAATGGACAGCGTGACAATGAACAGAGCAGGTGGAAGTTGACAACAGATTTCATCTTGCTTGGATCCACAGTCAGAAGCTCTTGGAAGCAGCAGTCAAGAAATTGAATGACCTATTGCACTGGGCAAATCTGCTGCACAAGACTGCTTTGTGTCGAAGAGCAAGAATGTTACTTCCGGGACTCTGGTACACCTGACCCATGGTATTTTCGATCTCCTCGTATGCATGTGAAAGTTGGGCGATAAAGACAACCACAGAAGAATCGATGCATTTGAGTTGGAATATTGGAAGTACCAGAAGAACAAACAAATCTGTCTTGGAAGAATTACAGGCAGAGTGCTCCTTAGAGGCAAGGATGGTGAGACTTAGAGTCACGTACTTTGGACATGTTAGCAGGAGAGACCAGTCCCTGTGAAGGGCAACATGCATGTTAAAGTGGAAGGGCAATGAAAAAGAGGAACGCCCTTGATGAAACAGACCGCCACCCTGGCTGTGACCATGGACTCTAGCATAATAACAGGTGGGAGGCTGGTGCAGGACTGGGTGGACGGAGGGTTGCTATGAGTCAGAATCAACTCGATGTCAATTAGCAACCACAGTGAGCAGATGCTGGCCTAGATACGCAAGAGCGATAGGGAAAGGGAGAGCGTATCTCCACATCCCAGTTTGACAGTGAGTACTTATATTGGGTATTTACTGTTGCTGCAAAACTATCCTTGAATGTGGTGGAGCATACAGGGGACAAAGTGATGAAAACCAAAGTTATGAAATAGAACCTAACACCTTGAGGGACTAAGTCAATGGGCCTGGGCGCTCAGGACCATAGTCACAGAGGACACCAAACTTAATGAGTATAAGGGTTCACAAAGACAATGTTGTCTCGTGAGTACTGGGGTCTTCAAAGCTGGTGCGCAGCCATCTGAGGTGCACCTATTGGTCTCGGAAAGAGGAGTGATGAAAATCGAAAGATGCTAAGAAACAATTGGTCCAACAGGTGAAAGGACTATGCAAGCACAGCCCTGCGATGAGAAGATCTACCTGGTGCCAGCCGCCACTCCCCGCTGCTCTCAAAAGGAGCACACGAGAAGATCCAGGAAAGAGAGGGAGAAAAACATGTGAACTAGAACTCACCATCATAAAAGAGACCAGTCTCTCTGGTCAGATAGAGGCTGGCGAAACTCCTAAAACTATGACCCTTGGTCCACCCTTTAGGCCTGGAACAGAATTTATCTCTGTTAAAATAACCAACCATTTAAGATCAAAGGGGCAGTATTTATCAAAGGACAGAGGATTAGGACAGAAGGAGGAATACTTGTAGAAACAGGAACGCAGGGAGGAAGTGAGATAAGCAACGGGTACAGGGAGGGGATTGAAATAGACATGTTGAAACAGAGAAGCCCTGATGGTGTAGTGGTTACACGTTGGACTGTGATCTTCATGGTTGACGGTTCAAAACCACCAGCAGCTCTGTGGGAGAAAGACTGTTACAGTAAACAGTTTCAGTTTTGGAAACCCACAAGAGGGTCTCTGAGTCAGCAGTGACTCAATGGTTTGGGTTTGGTGTTGAAACAAAATGTGTGTGAATTGTTGAATATAAAACTGATAATCTGCTCTGTAAACCTTTACCCTACATCACAATTTAAGCAGAAAAAGAATCCTCTAAATCTTGGTCTGAAAGGCTAAAAAAAAAACAAGAGGAAAAGTCAAACTGAAGTGACCTTGGAATCTTTAGTGACAGACAAGTTCATTTTATACGTATGAAAAAAACAATCCTGCGGTCACTTCTTTCATACTGTAAATAATGTTCCTTAACATGAATCCATGTCCAATTTCCCTACAGTGGGGATTTGCATATTTTTCTTTTCTCTTAAAGCAAAGTATGCGTGGCTCCATAGCCATCTTTCTCAGGCAAAGAGGCAAGGAGACACGGCACCACAGAGCTGAGTGGGAATCTAAGCGCTGCCAGTTGCTAGCCAGATGACGAGGCAAGTTGCTGACTTCACCGAGCCTTCGAGCCTTCGTTTTCTCTTCTGTAATGGGCAGATGACAGTGTTTACCGCCCAAGGTTGTTGTGAGAGTTTCACTCCTCAAGGGATTTAGCACTTCGGTGGCATAAGCTGAGGGTTTAAGAACACTAGCTGTTGCCATCAAAATTGCATTAATACGCAGAATACAACTTTCAAAGTCAAGTTTCCATGTTTGATTTTAGGATAACCCCTCCCCCCAAACAAAACAAAACAAAAACCCACAAAAAAAAGACCTGTTGCCATGGGGTGGATTCGACCATAGCACCCCCATGTGTTACAATTGGGTTCTTGGCTCTGGTTTTAAAGGAATCAGGCCCTCAGGCCTTTCTTCTGTGGTATCTGTAGGTAGGTACAAACCTCCAACCTCTTGGTCAATTAAAAACAACAACCAAAACAACCACCACCCAAGCCAAACCCGCTACCACTGAGTCTATTCTGACTCATAGTGATCTAATAGGATAGACTAAAACTACCTTCTAGGGTTTCTAAGACTGTAATCTCTATGGATTTCTCTCAAGGAATAGATAGTGGGTTTGGACCACTAACTTTTCCATTAGCAACCAAGTGCTTAAGAACTATGCCACCAGGACTCCTCTTTTTAGTAGTCCAGAGCAAAGGATTTGTACATTCTGGGGAGCTGGGTTCTAATATAGGTCAGTTTGTACTTGGACACCTTTCTGTGACCACAGCCTGCACCCATAGGCCAAAACAACTCTCTTGCTTGTGAACATCTTTATACCCAAGAGGGATCAGAGCAGAAAGACAGCTCAGGGCAAAGCCATCCCCACAAAGTATGCATTGCAGGTACTAGATCAGTGACATCACATTATGGAGTCAGGGAATGATGGAGAAGATGGGGATGTCACAAAACCCTCCTTGTACTAGATAGCTCCTGTAAGTGTGGGGCCTACTGGGGAGTCTGGACCATAATCTTAGGGAACACCAAGGTCAATTGGCATAACATAGCTCTCAAAGACAATGTTCTCCATCCTGCTTTGGCAAGTAATGCCTGGGGTCTTAAAAGCTTGTGAGCAGCCATCTAAGGTGCACCTATTAGCCTATCCCCATCCAGAAGGAAGAAGAGTGGTGAAAAAAATCAAAAGACACAAGAAAACAATTCGTCCAATGGACTAAATGTGCCATGCCAGCATCAGTCTCCACAACCCTGAGACCAGAAGAACTAGATGGTGCCCAGCTGTTATGGTATAAAGACCATAACAGCTCTGAAAAGGATCACAATGGAGGGTTCTAAATAGAGTGGGAGAAAAATGTGAAACAAAACCCAACCTCATAAAAGAGACCAGGCATATTGGTTGGATATAGACTTGTGGGGCCCTCCCAAGACTCTGGCCCTGGGTTACTCTTTAGGTCTGGAACTACATTCACCTCCATGTTAGGATACTCAACCATTTAAGGTCAAAAGGGTAGCATTTCCCCAAGGACCAAGTTTCAAGGGTTAGGAAAGAAGGAGGAATGAGAACAGGAAACACAGGAAGGAAGTGGGATAGGACATTCAGGGGATTGCAACAGGAGCATTGATGCCACCTGTGTATGAGTTGTTGCAAGTTGAGATCTGCTCGGTAAGCCCTCATCGAACTCACAAGGAAAAGTTAAAACACAAAAGGAGTGAGGTCTCCTTGCTCAACCCCCCACATGCTCTGCCCCCACCCCCACCCCCACCTCCTTACTTTACTGTCCAGCTTCTTCATTGTCACTAGGTCCAGAGACTTCAGGGAATGACCGGTGGGGGCGATGAAATACAAGCAGGCGTGGATGCGGGAGTCGTGGTAGGTGTGTAGCACTCTGCGGATCTTCAACTCTTCCTGCAGGTAAGCCTCAAACTGGGCGTCGATGAATTCCACGATGGGCTTGTAGCTGATGGAACAAGGGATGAACTTACTTGGACCACTCCGAAAATCTGGTTCTTGACCCAATGCTTTTTGAGAAGTTGAAAATGGCCTGTGTAATCTGGTCCTCCTTCCATCCTGCTAGGCCTCTCCATCTCCTGTCAGTGGCCCTCCAATCCTGTCAAGCCTGACTACCATCTTGATCTTCACAGACGCCATGCTTAGGGCTGTCTGTACATCACCACTTTGAAATGTCCTCTTCTCTCTCTTCAGCCCCATCCTGTCCTCCTAGACTTCAAGGCTCAATTTAATACCCACGTCCTCCATAGGGCCCTCCCCAACTATTCCAAAAAACCCTTCCATCACACACACACACACACACACACACACACACACACACACACACCACTGCCACTGAGTTGACGCTGACTCATGGTGACCCTGTAGGACAGGATAGAACTGCCCCATGGGTTTCCAAGCTTGTAACTCTTTACGTGAGTAGAAATCCCCGTCTTTCTCCTATGGAGTGCCCAGTGGTTTTGAATTGTGAACCCTTCCGATTGCAGCCCAACACATAACCACTATGCTACCAGGGCTTCTGAAGCATTAAACAACAAGGTATTGACATTTTGATCAAACATTCTCTAGAAGAATCCTAATTGAAAGGGGGAAATGAAGACTGGAATTTCAAATTCTCATGGAATCCAAACTGTCCAGATCCCTGGACATGGAATGAACCCCCAACACCATTGCCCTCTGATCATCTTTAAACCTTACCCTAAAATATCCTCTAGAGTCGTCTTTATACCATAAACTGTGTCAACCTTGAGCAGTGAGCTCTTTCAAGCTCTATCTCTATGGAATCAAACTGACAACAAGCAACTCAAAAGGTTCAGTAGAGGAACCTTAGGGGGAGGTGAGTTTATGTGAATGAGGGAAGAACAGAGTAGCGAGAATGGTTGAACAACTGGAAGGAGATCATCAATGTCACTTAATGGCACATGTAGAGATGGTGGAATTGGGGTATGCTCAGCTACAATGACGACAACAAAAATAAATTGTTTCAAACCAGAAAAGAAAAATCATGGTATCGGTAGCTGTCAGAGTTATTGTGAGATCCGTCCCAGGCTACCACCATAAGGTGACTACCCCAATGAGGTGAGTTGCATGAGAGTTTTTGTTTTGTTCTGTTTTTCAAGGCAGGAAAAAGTTATGTTGACACTGTCTTGTAGCCTTCCAAATGCACAACTATATGATGACAAAGTGTGAGATATTGTGAGAACGACCACAGGCTGACACAGATAGGAAGCAAATCAGATACCTTTGGAAAACCAGCCCTGATGGACTCACTGGATGCTGGATGTACTAGCATTCAATTTGAGAAGTGCAACTTAAACAGAAGCCCCTCCCCACCCCCCCCAAACGAGACCCGTCTGTGTTGGATTACTGACCATGTGCCTTTCTCACAATAAACCACATCTTCGTAAAAGACAAGGATGTGAGGGGCCTTGCCCTCTGCACCCCACCCCACCCACCCAAGTTCCCCAACAGTGTGACTCTGTGTGGCAGGATCTGTCTCCCTAGAGGCTAGGTTACATCTTCCCTTCATGTATCTCCCCGCACAGGGCCTAGTAAGCCTGCTGGATGCCCACTAGTGGCTATGAACTTCTCCTTTATACTCTGGAGAATTCAACTCTGACTTTTGCTCAGTCTTCCTGGAGTTCAGGGGGACTCCCAACTTGGCTCTTAATCGCCACATATTTTCCCCTCCTTCCATATGAGAGACCTGGATTCAATTCCCAGCCAGTGCGCCACGTGCACATCTGTCGGTGGAGACTTATATGGTGCTACGATATTGAACTTCCAGACTAAGATGGACTAGGAGGAAAGGCCTGGTGATTTAGTTCTGAAAATCAACCAACAAAAACTGTGGCTCACAATAGTTCCTGGACCAACAACTCATCTCGAGGGTGGCATTTCTTCCAAGGTTGTAACTTTAAAAATCTATGTACTTATGCAAAAGTTGGTAAGGATGCGCCTCCACACACCTTCCGCACACGCACACACGCCGCCCCATCTCTGGCATCTCCATTCACAGCTTCCCTTTGTGGCCTCCAACTCCTGACAGGCCACGCCCACCTGCCATCGAGTCCATTCTGACTCCTGAGACCCTATGGGACAGAGGAGAGCTGCTGCACTGAGTTTCCCGGGCTGCGCATCTTTGGGGAAGCAGATTACCCCATCTCCTCTCTCGGAGTGGCTGCTGGATTCCAAATGCGGGTCTTGGGGTTAGCAGCCCAGGTTTAACTCAGTGTGTCACCATGGCTCCTTCCAAGTCCTGCCAGAGTGTCTTAAACAAAGCCAGCCCTCTGCTCCTTCCTGTCCTGGGATTCCCGGAGGCAGCTCCCATCATTCCCAGCTCGCCCTTCCTCGCCCGGGCCATCCCTGCCACCCCTCCAGGCTCTTTATGCTCTAAGTAGGTCAACTGAGCTTCAGCCCGGCCCCTCTGTTTTCATCTCTCTTGGGTAGCTATTGGCTGATGAGAAGAGGTTTATTATCTGGGCCAGGGCCAGTAAATGTTCAGCTACCATGGCCAGAAGGGGCCAAGATTAAAGCTACTGCCTCCCACCTGCACCGCCAGGCCCCACCTTGAGCCTTTTAAAAAGACCCACTCCTCTTAGTAGAGAAGGGGAAATGGTGTTTAAAAAAAAATCACAGGATCCTAGATTCTGGAAGCTGCACACAAAAGAGAGAGCCAGGTGCAAGGCATCCCTGTAACCACAGAGCACAATCTACAAAGAGAGTTCCTTCTTTCTTCTTTTGATCCTTTTGAGCCAAACCTTGTTTGGAAGGGTAACAGTATCAAAGAATGTCTTGGTTGCAGAGAGCCTTAGAAAATTCCTGAAGAATCAGGAATGAGGTTGGGGTGGGGTGGGGTGCATTCTTTCACCCAAAATGGATTCTGGGTCATTGTGACCCTCTAGGACCAAGGAGAACTGCCCCATGGGGTTTCCAGAGCTGCCACCTTGACAGAAGCTACCTGCTGGCTCTTTCCCCCACAGAGTAGCTGGTGGCTTTGAACTATCAACCTTGCAGTTAGCAGCCAAGGGCTTAACCACCGGACTAGCAAGGTTCCCTGTGCTGCCCTTATACTTAGAAAATTAATTGGGGGGTGATTTGCTGGTTTTGAGTTTTGAACATGGGTTGGCTTCGTTTTTCTGTTCTTCATTTTGTGTGTGTGTGCGAATTTCATTCTTGGTTCTCCAAAAGGGATCAGAAGAAAAGGGTACATTTTGGTAACCAAATCACTAGTGATAAACTAACCCCTACCTTTCCATCCAGGAGCCCTGGTGCTGCAGCGGTTACACAGTGGGCTGCTAACCACAAGGACTGCAGTTCAAAACTACCAAGCACTCCTCAGAAGACAGACGAGGCTGGTTACTCCCGCAAAGAGTTACAGTCTTGGAAACCCACAGAGGCAATTCTACTCTGTCCTATAGGGTCGCTATGAGTCAGAATTGACTCGATGGGAGTGAGTATAGACCATTCCATCATCTCTAGCTCTCAGGGTGTCTGATTGATACCCGACTCCCCTTCAAAGACATTGCTTTCCCAATATCCTTCTCAACTGGAGACGTCTCCCTTTCCCTCTCTCGAGTCGCATGGAGGGGTGCAGAGGGAAGCTTTCTTCTAGCTCATTAGTCCCCTGGATTACAGTGATACCCTCCTTCTACATTAATCAGCTAAAACACACCCCACCCCTCCTCATCATGACTGCTAGGCTGTGCCCTTTCAGGACGGGAATTCTTAACCTAAGGTCGATGGACAGGATTCGGAGGATCCATGAATTCAGTGCAGCCTGCTTATTTTCTGAAAGCCCTGGTAGTTACGCGTTGATCTGCTAACTGCAAGGTCAGCAGTTCAAAACTTTCAGTCGCTCTGTGGGAGAAACACGAAGCTTTCTACTCCCATAAAGAGCTACAGTCTCAGAAACACACAGGGGGCAGCTCTATCCTGTCCTATAGGGTCGCTATTAGTTGACATCAACTTGATGGCAGTGAGTTTGGTTATAGAACTGCCTGGATAAACCCCCAAGGCTGCCAATCTTTATGGGAGCAGACAGCCTCATCTTTCTCCCGTGGAGCAGCTGGTGGATTGGAATTGGTGACCTTGTGGTTAGCAGCCCAGTGCCTAACGTACTACGCTCCTTGCACTGCCTTATCTTTTCCCTGTCTCCGAGAAGCTTCTTAAACCAGCAGCCTACACTCGTTTTATCTGTTTACTTTTTTTAACACCATTCTTTTGCTTCTATTTTTATGCAAGCAAGCAAAGCATATACCTTTCTATTCTGCCCTCCTCTGAAGGAACAGCAGTTTTCAGTTTGTTGATTATCCTTTCAGACTTTTTCCCGATGCATTTTTAGACATAAATAAGCCAAAAAATGAAACCCACTGCCATTGAGTCAAGTGTGACTTGTAGTGACAGCCTCCTCTTTCTCCCATGGAGCGACTGGTGGATTTGAACTGCCGACTTTGTAGTTAGCAGTCCAGTGCTTATCCCACAGAGGCACCAGAGAACCTTAAGTACATAAGTACACACACACACACACACAGAAATGTTTGTTGTTTGGGGCAGGGTAGCGGAGGCCAGTGAGCTTATGCAAACGACATCCTCATCTATGATTTTGCAACTTTCTTTTTTCACTGAACAATATGCCCAGGACATCTATCCCTACAAGTACCTGTAGATGTACCTCGTTCTTTTAAACTGCCCGGATACAGATTCATCTAATGACTCTTATTGTTGTAAATTTCATGTTTGTTTAAAACTAGCCTGTGGGTCACAAAAGCATGAAAGCCAGTTTCCATTTTACTCTTCCTCCTTTTCTAACCACTGCGATCAGTGGGTAGGTCCGACGGGTAAGGAATCCGGAGGGATTTAAAGGAAACTCATTCGGTTCACTTTCTTGCTATCTGTAACCAATGCTTCAGTGAATATCCTTTCTGTATTCTTCAGGAACACATGGGATTGTTGGTTCAGGCGGTACACCTACAAGCCTACTGCTGAATCAGAAGGTATTCGCACAGGAAATTTCAGTAGCTACTGCCAGATTTGCCCTCCAAACAAAATCTGTATCCATTTATACTCCTACCAACGTGAATGAAACGACCCAGTGTTCCTGGGTATTGCGTCAGCTTTGCTTTTTTTGGTGGTAAATCTGAAGGATCAAAAATGATTTATGATTTCATTTTGCATTTCCCTGATTACTGGTGAAGCTGAATGATCATTGTTTCCTATGCTGATTGGCCATTGATGTTTCCTCTTCTATTAGGTGCCTGGTTATTTCTCATTGAATGGAGAGTTTTATATTTATATTTTTGAAAACCTCCTTTGTCTGTTATATAGGTTGCAAATATTTTCTCCCTGTCTGTAGCTCGTTTTTCCTTTTGCTCTGGGTAGCATTCAACATACCAACGTGCCTTTTAGGATTATTTGAATGGCTTTAGATCCATCCATCTTTTCCTCATTGCATTTTGGATCATGATTAGAGAAGCCTTCTCGATGCTCCCAATTATTAAGATACTTGTATGCTCCAATAGCTGCATAATTTGCTTTTAATTCAACTGGAATTAATTCGGGGGGAGAAGCATTTGTGTAGCAGGGTCTCACTGAATGGGGCTGGCCCTCTAAAACCATGGCTGATGTTAGCAGCATCCTTCTGTGACTGATTCATTCTTGTCCTGCTGACGTGTACGAGTTAGAGTTCCAAAGCTGGCCCTAGACTCCCTCTTCCGTTCCACTGCTCTTTTTTTTATTGTTGTAAAAAAAATAGATAACACAACAGTTGCCACTTGAACATTTTTTTCGCACATACGATTTTGTGACATCATTTGTATTAATCACGGTGTACAGCTCTTTTTGATGCCTTGGCTGTCTTATCTCGACACTCAGCCATCGTGGGCATGCATCTTCTGCCAGCTAGTCTCCTGGCACTACTTTCCTGTGCATAGTGCCAATGACCTTGGTGCGTATTGCCAACCCCAATGGATACTTTCTGGCTCTTAGCTTTGGGGACACCCTCCTATCATTCCCACCTACCCACTGCCTGATTCAATGCCTCCTTGACTTTTCCACCAATAAAGATCACGGTCAAAAGAGTGGTCATTGGCTGCTGTGGGGGGTGGGGGGAGAGGGGGTGCAGAGCAGCTGGTCTTTTCCAACTGCCGATTGTATGGTTAGCAGCCTAATGTGTAGTCGTGACGCCCCCAGGTCTCCTCGGACATCACTGCTTCATTCCCTCCTGCTCCCCCATATCAGAGAAACTTCTCGTTTCTAAGGAGTCCTGGTGGTACAGTGGGCGAAACATCAGGCTGCTAACCAAAGGGTTATCAGTTTGAACCCACAAGCCACTCCAAGGGAGACAGATGAGGCAGTCTGCTTCTGTAAAGACTGACGGCCTCGGAAACCCTACGGAGCAGTGCTACTCTGTCCTGTATGAGTCAAAAGAGACTCACCAGCAAGAGGCCTACTTTTTTTCGGTATCACATTTACAGAATAATTGAAACAATAAGGATATTTTGTTTTTCAAGAATCCTGCTTGATATAGCATCATGATATTTTCTGTCCAGTTAAAGCAATGAAGAACAATTCACACTTCATGCAATTGCCCACTCACTGCTGTTGAATCAATTCCGACCCCTTGCCACACTCTAGGACAGGGTAGATCCACCCCCATAAGCTTCCAAGACTGCAAATCTCTCTTTTTTTTTGTTGCTTTTAATAAATCATTTTATTGAGGACTCGTACAGCGCCTTGAACAATCCATATATCAATTGTATGAAGCACACTTATACAGATGTTGCCATCATCATTTCCAAAACACGTTCTTTCTGTTTGAGCCCTTGGTATCCGCTCTCCTGTTCCCCCTCCCTCTCCTGCCATCCCACCCTCGTGAACCACAATAAGGGTATTTTTAATGGCGCCAGGGAGAAAGATGAGGGTATCTGCTCCCATAAAGATTGACTGTTTCAGAGACCGGTGGGTTCTGTTCTGTCCTGGAAGGTGGCTATGCATCAGAATGGACTCAATGGCCGTGGGTTTGGGTTTTGAGGGGCAATGGGAGGTAGGTTCACCTCTAAGGGGCAGTATTTGCTCAGTTCTCTCAAGCCAACCTTTATAAGACATTTTGCAATGTCTGAGAGAGCAGTGAGAAGTGAATTAAGGCGTTCCTGAGCAATCTGCAAATGAGAAGAAGCCTACACCCTGTGGTCCAACCCCCCGCTTCCTCCTCGAGTCTAATTTAGTCTCAACCAAACAAGGCTAGCACGATCAGAAAGCCTATTAAACAAACAAACAAAACAACAGAGATGACCTGCTTTTAGAATTTTAAAAGGAAAATAAAATTGTGGTTCAATTAAGCAGAAGCCCCATCTAGTTCTTCCTGATCAAGAAGGGAGTCTGCTCTATTTTGTATTTTTGTAAGTTTCCCAGTATATGAAACCCAGGAGGGGAAAATCTACAGAGGCAGTATCTGGATGAATAGTTCTTTGGGGGTACGGCAGGGGAGGGGGGGGGATGAAGAGCGAATAGCAACGAGTAGAAACTATTCTAAAATTGATTGTGGTCATGAATGTACAACACTTCTTGATATGATATGAACAATTCCATTGTATGCTATTTGGATGATGTCTCAATAAAACGGTTAAAGAAAAAAGGAAGAAATGGCGCCTGCTGGTTGGAACTTCCAGGGAGAAATAGGAACATCGAAGCTAGAGTTTTGCTCAGGAGCAAGAGACTGCTCAGACAGTGAGCAGACACTTTGCTCAGGATGACAGATAGCCCTTCCTGAGAGGAACACATGCAGAGACCACGTGACGTCTAGTCAACTATGGTGTGACTGCCAGAAAGTACCTGAACTCCAACCCTGTCCCTGACCCTCCCTCACGACCATCCCTCACGACACGCTCATCTCTGACCCTGGCACCACTCTTCGCTCTCCCCCCTTGTCACACCCCAAGAATCTCTCCTGGTTCTCCTCTGACCTCTTGGATGGTTCTGATGCAGTCTCTTCATAGGCTGTCATTTAACATCTGCTTCCTTAACATCTCACAGTGTTTGTACATCGTCCAGTGTTGTCCTCACTGGACTCTGAGCCCTGGATGATCTTACACACCCATGGTTGGAAAGTTTCACCTCTACGTTGCTAACCCAGTCCTTCTTTCCAACCCCAACCCTCGTCTGGCCTCCAGCTCTGTATAGTCAACTGCCTCCTCCTGAAGGTCATCCTATGTCTAGATGTTCTACAGGCAAGTCAAGTTCATCATGTCCCAAACAGAGCTCTCTTTATTTTAAAGCCTCCTTTTCTCACTCTTAAGGAGTGTTGGTTGCATAGTGGTTACGCATTGGACTACAAATGTCAGTGGTTGGAAACCCCCGGGCGCTCTGCGGAAGAAAGAAGGGGCTTTCTACTCCCTTGAAGAGTTACAGTCTCAGAAACTCCCAGGGGCAGTTCTACCCTGTCCTGTGGGGTTGCGGTGAATCAGCATCGACATGATGGTAGTGAGTTTGGTTTGGGGGGCTTCTCTGTCTTTTAAAAGGAGCCCTGATGACACAGAGGTTAAATTCTTAGCTGCTAACTGAAAGGTCTTCTGCTTGAACCCTCCACCTTGGGAAAAATATGTACTGGTGTGTTTCTGTCAAGGTTTACAGCCTTGGAAACTTTCTGGAGCAGTTTCTACTCCGTCCTGCATGGTCACGTCCTGCATGGTCACGGTGAGTGGGAACCGACATGACCACGGTGGGTTTCTTCTCTTCTTAAAATGCTTGGTGAAAGGGAAGGTTCGGTAGAAAGGGGGAACTGATTACAAGGATCTACATATAACCTCCTCCCT